CTGTAAAGTGATAGTGCAACAACCTTCTGTAAAGTGATAGTGCAACAAACAGCCTTCTGTAAAGTGATAGTGCAACAGCCACTGACCGATAGACCAATGGTGGGTGAGGCTTCATCCTGCATAAAAGTTACCTTATCCAAGAACTGCCTCTGCTGAAGTTGTGGAATGAAAAAACTATTCAGCATATCGTGATACCTTTGCACGGTAATGGTACAGATCTGTGGTTCTGTTCGAGTTATGTTCTTTAAAAGATGGCCATATGGTGGAATCTGCTGTGAAGGCCACACCAAACAGTGACTGACTTCACAACAGATTTAATGCTGTGGTAAAATGCACTGTGTGTCCTGATCTGCACGGGGCTGCTCAGATATCCGAATTAATCAATTATGAATGTTAACTGTCCGATTTAGGTGAGTGTATTTTCTTCTCGCAGAATTATCCATGGCCAAGCACTGTCGACTTCCATCATGGCAAGAAATATCAGAGCAAATACTACCCATTTATCATACTAGTTGTGTTTTAATTCTAGAAGTAGAGAACTTTCTGGCAAGACTCGTGCCATCGGAGATTTAATCCAATTGTTGCGTTACTGCTCAACACTGCTTCTGCCAGCAATGTTCCCATGGGTGCCGTCAACGATTGCAGTCACGCCATCAATAACTGTCTGTTCTGGTACCAGTTTTCACCCTCTACAAAACAAAACTGCCGACCGACAATTTTTTTTTTTTTTTTTTTTTTTAGTATCATGCTTTATGTTGCATTAATTAATTGAAGGCCTTTACGCAAGTTCTTGCGGCTTCTAAACTCACGAAGAGTGGCGACTACGTTTAATTAGTGAAGATAAAGCAACTTAACAAGCAACGCGCCCTGAAGTACAGTGCGACGCATGTTGAACCCCCCACCTAACATTCGGAATTTCCTTCAGTACTTCACCCTTATCTATACAAACTGAATTACTAGAGTTGCTGCCGTTTGAGTAACTGTGCGTTTGCATTTTAAAATTTTACCTGCGCTTCATGCAGATTTTCAGCTGAGTAGACAACATCTTCACATTTATCCCTATCGGCACTTTCGGAACTAATTAATTTTGTTATTCGCAGAATCTTTTTTTTTCCCATGTCTTCCAAACTAGATGGTTTCTCAGCTGATATATCGAGTTCCATATAAATCTATGTAGTGTCGTTTAAAAACAAATACCCTTTACATGTTTGGCAAATGCAGATAAATAGATATAAATATAATTAAATACAATAAAGTAATAATTTTATTTAATAATTATGTAATATTCATGCGATTTAATAATATAACATACACGAATTTAACTTACAAAATTATAAATTCTGAAAAATATATGTGTGATGACTTGCATTAGAAGAACTTTGGGGATGTTATAAATGGTGATGGCATGTAGAATGCGTAGTTTCAATCAAATGCAGCCGCCGTGACGATTTAACGTATTGTTTACTTTATTCAACCTATCTTTAGGAAGGTTCAAAATGTCATTCAGACCTAATATAACTTTTGTTTATTTCATTTTATTTAAACTTTTGTGAATTTTATTTTATTAATTTTATTTTATCTAAGTTATATGTTAATTGAACTACGAAAATGATATTTTATTATTTTATTGTTTACTCTTGAAAATGCCTGAAGAAATTGTTTCTACTAAGAAAGGGGAGTGAAGACGTCACCGATAAATGGGTAGCGGCCCCTGAGGAGACTTATACGTCACCCATTATGAATGCAAGAGCATTCAAAGTGTTGAGCAATGAATCGTGTTATTTCTGTATGAACTGATTTCCGAGAAGAGCGTTCCGTTGTAAACGGAATTGAAATTGAAGTGCTTATTTATGATATTTCACTGATGTGGAACAGCTTAGACTATAGGTTAGCAAAGCGCAGGCGAAAATTGGCTAGTTGGGTTTGCTTTGTCCCTGGAAGGCGAATTATTTAAATAAAGATCTTGTGTTGAGCAAAGAAAGAATCATTTTGTTTCTATATAAACTGCGCAACGGTGACTTATTAAGTAGTTCTGGATCCCTTCACTTCACGGAAATATTTGGCCTAACTTAATTTGCCAGTTTGGCATCACCTTATTACTGGAGTAAAGGACGAAACACTTTCGTATTTATTTATTAATTATTGTTCATTGAACAAGAGTTGGTTTGTTCCCCTTGAAAAGTCAACTAATTTCCGATCAATGGCAATGATTACTTGCTTTTAATTTAATTTCTTTTTCCATGAAATTTTTGTTATTCATGATTTAAATTCAGTTCCGTAAAACATTTTTAACAATTTACATCAAAGTTACTTTAAACAATTTTAGGAATAAACTTACTATCTATGGGTCCCTCTTTTTGATACTTCTACTAAAATTAATATACGAGATAATATCCCTAAATTAATTAAAGTAGAATTATCTTAAAAAGTGAATCATACTAGTAAGTTATATTTGAAAGATGTTTGAAGTAACTTGAAAGTAAAATGTTAATAATGTTTTAACGGGACTGGAATTAAATCATCATGAAGAACAAAATTTCAATTGTAAAAGGAATAAATTAAAGGCACGAATTAAAATAATGCATGTAATCATTGTCATTGATCGGAAATTAGTTGACTTTTTAAGGGGAACAAACCAACTCCCGTTCAATGAACAATAATTAATAAATAAATACGAAGGTGTTTCGTCTTTACTCGAGCAATAAGGCTAAGCCCAATCGGCAATTCAAGTCAGGCCAAACACTTCCGTGAATAGAAGGGATAATGAACCAATGCTGATATTCAAAGAACTTATTCCTATGAAGCATTTTAGCCAATTCAGTTTTGAGTGAAAAGCAATTTCTGCAGTGAATTTCGAAAAAACTCGAGTAACCGTCCCCCGACACCCTCGTGTTTATTATTTGAGTTCAATATTATTTGTAAAAATTAAACATTGGAAATTGTCATATGAAATAGAATTCAAAGTGTAAAGTTGAAATAAACGTTAGAAGATTACGAAATATAAGATAAATAATGCAAACTTTGTAAAAACAAATCAAAAAATAATACAAAAAAAAAATAATAGAAAAGTGAATGTACTGAAGATATAAGGCCAAAAAAGTATTAATTAACTTACGTTCTTTCTAGTGAGGAGTCGGCAAAGTGTTCTCTTCGCGTCTGACTCAGAAGTGTAGTGTTTCCGAAAAATTCTTAGCGAAAGCGGGGGGCTTTGAGTAATATCAGTCGGTAAGACTTGTGTGAAGTAATTTATGGTAGTGGGTGGGACTCGGAATTCTTGAGGGATGTATTCTGTGGAGTTCTTATTTCAGTGAAACCGTCTGTTAAAATTTTTTTGAAAGTACTAGTGAATGGAAATTAATTCATTTCTGGCTAATTGTTGAGTCAAAACGATTAAGAATTTAAGAAAGGAAAAAAAGATTTTCACTGTCAAAGAGCTATTTGACCGACGAAAGACCATGAAATAGGCCTTTAGCAACAGCATAGTAACAGCATAAGTCTGAAGACAATTAGCTTTTTACAATATATACAACTGAGTAATTACACTATATACAAATCCTTCAATTATTCAAAGCCCCCGCTGCCGCTAAGAATTTTTCGGAAACACTACACTTCTGAGTCAGACGCGAAGAGAACACTTTGCCGACTCCCCACTAGAAAGAACGTAAGTTAATTAATACTTTTTCTGGCCTTTATATCTTCATGTACATTCACTTTTCTAATTATATTTTTTATTTTTATATTATTTTTGATTAGTTTTTACAAAGTTTGCATTATTTATCTTATATTTCGTAATCTTCTAATGTTTATTTCAACATTACGCTTTAAATTCTATTTCATAATGACAATTTCCAATGTTTAATTTTTACAAATAATATTGAACTCAAATGCATAAACACGAGGGTGTCGGGGGACGGTTACTCGAGTTTTTTCGAAATTCACCGCAGAAATTGCTTTTCACTCAAAATTGCATTGGCTAAAATGCATCATAGGAATAAGTTCTTTGAATATCAGCATTGGTTCATGATCTCTTCTATTCACGGAAGTGTTTGGCCTGACTTGAATTGCCGATTGGGCTTAGCCTTATTGCTCGAGTAAAGACGAAACACCTTCGTATTTATTTATTAATTATTGTTCATTGAACGGGAGTTGGTTTGTTCCCCTTGAAAAATCAACTAATTTCCGATCAATGACAATGATTACATGCATTTAATTTAATTCGTGCCTTTAATTTATTCCTTTTACAATTGAAATTTTGTTCTACATGGTGATTTAATTCCAGTCCCCGTTAAAACATTATTAACATTTTACTTTCAAGTTACTTAAAAACATCTTTCAAAATATAACTTACTAGTATGGATTCAATCTTTTAAGATAATTCTACTTTAATTAAATTTAGGAGATAATATAATCAATTAATCAATATTATTTAGTAAATAAATTATTATTTAATTACTTTACAGCAATTGCGCAAGTAGTAGTACTTGTTTTCGCACTAAATGAATTTAAGATCATACAACATTTTATATATATGTAATGGGTATAATAATTTTTAAAATAAATGTATTGAGATCGAGAGCACGCATAAAATGTTAGATTTCGTAATTTTTATAAAATATATTTTTTTAAATTTAAAATTGCGCAATAGTATATACTTTATTTAAAACATTTTTGAAACTAGAAGTATGTGTACACGATCAATCCTCTATCGAGCATTGATCGTGGACCAGTATAAAGGCCAGATAAGAAAATTTATGGACACGATGTGTATGTTTTAAATCTGAAGTCGATCAAAATGCGCAAAGTAAATAAATATTTTGCGCCCGCAGAAATTTCATTGCGCAATAGCTGCGAAACTGTTGATATTTTTTTTTTAACTTTGATCATCTCAAAAATAGAACTTATTTGTGCCATTTTGTAATCTTTGCTATTTTTTTGTATGTTTTCTTTTTATAACCGGGTATTTGTATTAGTTTCTCATTCGTTACGTTCTGTTTTGTTAATTTCAGGGTGGATTCGCTCGTGTTCACGAGTTGACAGATCTGACGACGAGCCAAGTGTATGCCGGTAAAATCATCCCCAAGAGCAGGCTCACGAAACCGCATCAGAAAGAGAAGGTAAAGAATATTCTTCTTGGATTTGTTCCATTTCAATCCAAATGAATATTTTGGATATGCTCCACTTCCGTGGAAAGGGATGAAATTTGGGTCGAGAACTAAATAGCTCCCCTTTCCTCACCAGAGTTTGCTTAACTTAAATTCTTATTCGAGTATGAAATTCGAACAGATGATGCCTTTCACTTCTTTTGTGTTTGTTCTGGCAAAACTGTCGCTTGTTGGAAAAGATGGATGTCGTGTTGTCTTTCTGGTAATCTGTTACAAGAACAAATGTAGTTCTTGTAACAGATTACCAGAAAAATCTAATTTAAGGAAGAACGACGAAAAGTAAACCAGAACTTTCGTAAACAATGCGGACATAGGACAAAGTAGTATTACGAAACTAATCGTTTTGCTGTATGAGGGGGCGGTGATTGTTTTCTTGATCGTAATATTCGGGGATTAACCAATCGTGTTTCTTCGTAAGGGGGAGTGCTAATTTTTCTCTGACGGAGAAAAATCTGTTTTTGACAGTTTCGTTGTAATTTTTGGCCGTAGTAATCATGTAATAAAAATATAAAAAGAAACCTTAATTATTTTAATTGAAAATTCATATCAGGATTTTAACCGATTGGTATATGCAAGTACAGCATTAAGTATGACTAAAATATTGTTTTAGGCTTTACTGTTCTAAAATTAAAGATGTAGAGACATTAGGTGTTTTTAAAGCAGGACTACATGAAATATGATTATTGCCTTTGCCGAGACTTGAACCTGGACTTCTCGAATATGCGCCGAGTGTGCTACCGTTACACCACGAAGACATGCAGAAAAGAGGGAAAAAATGCATTACATATTCCTCCTTTTAAAGGGCGACAGGGGATTAGGGAACTTAATCGCCAAGTTCTGGTGGTGAAGAAGCATCATCTACTACCTTTTTTAGTTCGGGCGCTACTTTCTTTCTTTCCACCGACAGCGAGGCAGCCGGTCCACTGGGGCAGTTAACATATCGGCCAAATAGTCCCGCTGATGGAAATAACTTCATCAACATAACACACTTTGGTACATATTGTGCTCAAGACGAGTGCTGGGGGCAGTGCAAACAAATGCTGGACGAGACGATAGCGTAGTGATGGAAGAAGGGTGCACTGCGGGTGAGAAGAACAATTTCAGTTACATATTTACAGAGTTATGGATAGGTGGTTACAAAGCATCCACAACATGAACCATAAATGAGCCATAAATGAATATATGAGCAATTAACAGAGTGACTGATAAAACAGTAAAAATAATATCTAAAATAGGGCTAAATACTAAATAGCAATACTAAAAATAATAATAAGTAAAATACTAAAAAGCGAAAAAATACATAAATTAAAAAAAAGGCAAAACAGTGAAAACAATACATAAAATAAGGCAAAATACATATAATTCAAGGTTCATAATTTAGTGTTTACAGTTCAAGGATATAAGTATATACAGGGAATAAGGTTCGGGTTCGGACGCTACTGTAGAGACAGGGTATTTTGAAGCAGGAAACACGAAAAATGAGCAATGCACTCGCCGGAACTCGAACCTCGACCTCTCGACTACGCGCCGAATGTGCTACCGTTACACGACAAATGCATTTTGCAAATGCATGCATAAAGGAGGGAGAAAGTACCTTATAAAGAAACTATTATTCACTTGCATAAAGTGGTTTAAATTTATTTACTTTAGTTACATTAAGTAATTATAAAAGCCACATTAATACTTCTTGAGGAATTTAAAGTTCTTGGTCTTGGACATTATCTGACTCCTCCTCCTTGCACTTTTACAACTCCAATTTCAGCAATAAGTTCCCATAGTTGTAAATGGACGGATCATTTTAAAATATTTAAATTGTAATAGCTGATACAGCCAACTTGTAACAACTATATTGTAGCAGTTCTTTGTTTTCATGGTTCTGATACTGGCGACTAGTGTTGCTGATTTTATGAGTTTTCGTAGTGTAATAGGGACGAATTTCCTGCTATGACCATAGATAGCCGAAGACTATCCGACATGGCTAAACATTTACAAGCTTTTTTCTTTTTATCGTAAATGATTTTAAGTACTACTTATTTCGAGAAAATATTAGGTTTTTCAGATCTTCTGGATCTAATCCCGCATATGATATATTTTCTATTGGTTCTAGACTAAAATGGCCCTAGAGTCTTTGCAATTCTTGCAGTGGGCCGCAAAATTTTAAAGGCATCGAGCGATAAAGAGCCTTAGCATTCGCATTCTTTATCACAATAATTGTTGTAAAATATATAGCCTTCCTTATGGGGGGGGAGGAAGAAAGAACTCAGAAAAAACATCATCAAAGTCATGAATATAGTAGCAAACATAGGCATAGATTTAGGCCATCCTTGATGAAGAATTCCTGCATCTGGAAAAAAAACCCCAATACGTCAACAATTATTTTTTCCCTTCAGGTCCCTTTTGGACGTACAAAACGTTCATTAAATTAGTTTCCAATCACAAGATCTGTTATGAGCTACGTTCCAGGGCGCTCATCATAGCAAGCATTCCATCGACATAAGTCCAAGAGTCTGAGATATATTATGAATTCTTTTTCACAAATTTGTTCAAACATTAATGCTGGAGAAGTGCTGAACCCTGAAAAAAAAAGTCTAGCTTCAAGAAGTTGCAGTCGAAGGACAACATCTGTTGACTCCTCTGTAAAAACAGTGGTGCCCTCGCTTGGTATAAGCTATCAACTATCATAATGATTGTTCTGATAATTCCAACTAAGAGGATGCCTCGGAGATTACAAGAGAAATTAAAGTTTCCAGGCTATTTTATCTATTAACAGTAGGCATGAGACATTCGAATCTTACATTAAATCGTGGGAGTAAAACCAACGAAAGACAAGACATATGCCTAGGTGAGAATAAAGAATGCCCCCCCCCAGGACTCGTACCTGGACCTCCCGAATACGCGCCGAGATACTACCGTTACACACCAAGGCATGCAGGAAGGAGGGAGAAGATACCCCTTTTTTAAAGGGCAACTGGGAAGGAAGAGATCCATTCGCCAATTCCTGGTGTTGAGGAATTATCATCCACCACCTTTTATTTAGAGTGCCATTTTCATTAGGTTATTTTGAAGCAGGAGACAAGGAAAATGAGCAATGACCTCGCCGAGACTCGAACCTGGAGCTCTCGAATACGCGCTGAGTGTTCTACCGTTACACCACGAAGGCATACTGGAAGAAGGGAGAAAATTAAACATGTTTCAGTAAATGCAGGTTTCAGATTTTGCTTTAGTCAAAAACTTTTAATGTTAAGAAAAAGCGTTTTCCCCTCTTACGTGTCTTCTTCTCTTTCTCCTTATTATTTATTGCTTTGTAAGAGAGTGTTTTAGGATTCGGATTCGAAAAAAATTAGAATTCATCCATTCTTTCTAATCAATAAAATCCATAGCTAGGTCGTTAAAATCTTCAAACCTGTTGTAGTTTTTGCCTTTTTCGAAAAATTACCGAGTGATTAATGACACGCCAACTAAGTAGCTTCCTAGAAGAAAACGAAAACTGGGGTATGATCCATCCTTTGTTGCATTTTAAGAAGCAGTGCAGTTGAATTGTCGGAAGTGTTTCTGCTTTATTAAGCCTATACGCCAATTTTCATCGTTTTTTTTATTGGATTTTGCTAAGTTACAGGTTGCAATTTAGATCAAAATAATATAACTTCAAAGTTTAAATTAAAATAATCCTACTAAAGTTTTAACTTTTTGAATGTGAAACACCAAATATCGAAATTTTACCAGTCACTTAAATTTGGCATGCATCTTTTGTATCCACCATCCTTGAATTCATTCTTAAAACTGTCGTCCAATGCAATTCTGTACAGTAATATACCAAACATTATATAAAGAGCATAATTAAGTTTAATGATGCGTTTTAAAAGTTTAAAAGTCAAAAGAATTTCATAATGCTTCTAAGACTAGATTCGCATCACCGATGATTTTAAAGAGCAAAATTATTCTGCGTTTAGAGAGCGCAGAGCATTATGGATTAATTTTCTGCATCAGTGCTATTTTATTTTATAACCTCCATTAAAATATTTATGCATAACTTTTATTTATTTATTTTTTGTTTGTTTATATGAATGAGTCTATTCTGAACATAATTTCTGTATAAATAATGTAAGTTATTGGTTCACTTACCGAGAAAGGGCGTAAACGGGCCATTTTTGTTAAATAATCAACTGGGTGCTTCTGAAAGTCAAGTATACACCTCTGCTTGACAGTAGAAAGTAATTGAATAAGATGAAGTATTTTTATTTATATACTGTTGCGTGCGTACGTGTTCCTTATTGATTCTATGCGCGCAGAACTGAGGGTAACTTCATAAAATTTATTTACCCCCTTTTACCCCCAAGAAAAACACTTTATAGTTCTGGAACTTTACACAAAAATACTCATAGAGCTCTTCTCAGTGTCATAGAGCACAATCGGTAGATACACTTCAAACTACTAAGAACGTTAGGCACAACGCAAAGCAAAGCGCATCTAAAAGGCGAAGCTCTCATCGATATCTCAATACTCCGAATTTAGTTCTGAACTAACAACTACTACTTCGAAACTGATGTTCTCTCCGGTATTATATTCTTTTCTTAGGCCGTCGAGAAATCTCTAATATCTTTCACTTCTATAAATTTCTAGAAGGCATATGCCGGATACGGTTACGGCTACATATGGAGATCAATTACAGTTATTCAATTACAATACCAATTGCAGTTATTATGGGAACGGTAAGAGCCAAGTTTGGCAAGTTGTGAGGATTTCTCGCCAAATTTGGCGACAAAAATTAGTCGTCAAAACCGTCGTCAGCTTGGCGGTATCTCGCCGATTCAGCGAAATAGCCATTTACCTCAGTGTTAAATAGACTTGCCCCTTTTATCTTATTTTTCCGGCAGAGCTTCATTTTTTAAACATAATTCGTAACAATAGAAATGTAGAATAGTTGACCAATATGAATACTTTCAGTTGTTTTCGCAGACGTCTTATCTTGCCATTTTCCTACCGCCTACAAAGCTATAGCAAACTTCACTAATAATGACAGTAGTTCTAGAGTAATATTAGGTGTACTGATATGTATGTTACACATACAGTGAATGGACAAAAATATGGAAACACCTTGTGAAATGCATGTTTGAAAAGAAAGATTGATTTTAATGAAATATGTATGATTTTAATGAAATATGTAGGTGGCGCTGGCGTTTTTGACTACTGACGCCACCTATACAACTTCATAAATGTGCTAAACAGTTCAGTTGTTGTCGGAGTACTGTTATGTGAGGTTGTCATTGCATTATGTCAGAGTTAACAGACTTCGAACGTGGGCAAATTGTTGGAGCACGTATGGTAGGTGCTTCCGTAAGCAAGGTAGCCGAGGTGTTTAGTGTTTCAAGAGGTACTGTATGGAAGATTTATTCCGCATATTTGAAAAGCGGAAAAACATCATCTGCTAAATCACAGCGCGGACGAAAGTGTGTCCTGAGTGATCGTGACAGACGATCATTAAGGGCAATTGTGACGAAAAATAAGAAGACCACAGCTGCAAAAGTTACTGCTGAAATGAATGTTGTGTTACCGAACCCTGTGAGTACCAAAATAATTAGAAGGGAGCTTCATAAACAGGGAATTGCTGGCCGTGCTGCAATTGAGAAGCCACTCATCAGTGATGCTAATGCCCGTAACAGAAAAAGGTGGTGTTTAAGTCATAAAGCCTGGACTATAGAGCAGTGGAAGCGAGTAATATGGTCTGACGAGTCTTCTTTCACATTGTTTCCCACTTCTGGCCGAGTTTACGTCTGGAGAACGCCATCTCAAGCCTATAATACAGACTGCTTGTTGAGTGAAACATGGCGGGGGTTCTGTTATGGTTTGGGCAGCCATATCGTGGTTCTCTGCTAGCCCCATGATAACTGTGTCAGGGCACATGGCTGCCAAGACTTATGTGAACATTTTGGCCGATCAAGTTCATCCCGTGGTACAAACTTTGTTCCCCGATGGTGATGGTATCTTCCAAGACGACAAAGCCCCTGTTCACACAGCTCACATTGTCCAGGACTGGTTTTCTGAGCACGAGGATGAGTTGGCCCATCTCCCCTGGCCACCACAGTCACCAGACCTGAATATTATCGAACCTTGTGGTCTACATTGGAACGGAAAGTGCGTTCTCGTTATCCACCGCCAACATCGTTATCTGAACTTGCCACCGTTTTGCAGGAAAAATGGTATAATATTCTTTTGACAAACATACAGGAACTGTAGTTATCCATTCCGAGAAGACTGCTAGCTGTTTTGGATGCCAACGGGTTTCCTACACCATATTAAGCAAAGAAACATGTTTTTTTTAAGGTGTTTCCATATTTTTGTCCAACCCCTGTATTATTTCATGCTTTGCTGAGTCTTAAGTGAAAATAATCCATTGGAGCTTCAAATCGAAACACAAAAATCGTGGTCACTCTGCAGTATTTGCCATCTTCAGATTGTGATGCATTTCACATTATCAAAAAACTGGTGTGTTTTATTCCATTATGACACTGTAATGAATTATCGCAATCCCCTTGCGTGCTCTTGTGGTGTAACATACACACGCATGCAAATACACAGCATGTTCAGATGGCAGTTGAAAGATCTGCTTTTAGAATCTCGGAAGAGCATAGCTGAGTTTTCGTGTTTCTTTACTCTGAAAACAAAAGCCAAATGTCTGTGTACCCTCATTATTTTTTCGTGTCATTTGAATCTTTGTTTGATTGTAACGACTATTCTTAGTTTCTTCACAGCTAAAGTTCCTTAAATCCGTTTAATTTAGAGAAAAGTGTACTCACAAGTACGTACCGTATATTTACCACATTTTAGTATCACAGCATTCAGTAACAAGAATTATTGACCATAGGCTTTTCGAATTATTTTGGCTTATACCATCGTTATTGAATTGCATTTTTGCAAAGAAAAAATAAAAATGCATATCGAAGAGTCGGGGAAGCGCCACTTAATGACTGGGCCCTTCAATTTGCAACATGTTTCTTCCAAAAAATTCTGCTTCTTGCTTCCCTTTTGCATTTAGGAGTTATAGGATGTTGTTGCATTCGAAGTGTGAAAGTGGTCTAGTTGTCTTTTAGGATATCTTAAGCGGAAACGTTAAATCGACTGTATGTCCTAGTAGGAAGTGTATTTACATTTTAACCTCAGAAAACCCTTCCTTGAACAAATACGTTTAGCCCGAAGGGCGTCTGGTCTGGTGTACCCTATCCGTATCTAATGGCAGGCAACACTTTTTGAACATCATGAAAAACTTCAATAATTGCAAGCTGAGGGTTAATAGTCCAAGTAAAACTTGAAGATTTCAAATACGTTTAAGAGTAGGCAAAAGTTCTGGTATCAGCGGGCTTCGAGAAGTCAATCAGGTTATGAGAGAAATATGAAAGAGCTTCAAAAACTTTCAGTCGTGCGCTCTGCGAAGAGGTACGAGCGATAATCTCATGAAAAGTAACCAGAGAGTAAATTTGGCGATTTATGAAGCTTTGGTTAATATGTGATGGAGGAAAAAACGCTCGTTTGTGAAGTAATTCAGAAAATACATATTACATTGCTTATATATTTACGACATCTGCCTAACTATTCATTAAATTGACTTCGAATTTTTAAAAAGTGACTCAATATTTTAAAAAAAGTCCAGCATCTTATGTCACATTCAGAGCTTTCGTTTTTCGACAGCAGCACTTCTGCAGCTACAAATAAGATACCATTTCCTTTCCTACTGCGCAGCATGCGAGCTATTTTTCTCCATTACAGTTCGCCAAAACTTCCTAAATCGCCGAATTTACTAGCAGCTTGCGTTTCTTAAGGAGAAAATGGAAATACATGCTGGGATTCGAACATCTTATTACTTAACATACTTACTGGGCATCCTACTACTTAACGCAACGAAAGGATGTATTTCAGGTATAACGCGATAATTCGTAAGACCATTACGAGTCCAGGTGGTGTTGAATTATGCTGTTGTTCTTTCAAATAGTCTGACACTTGCAACTTTACATTCGTCGCGAACAGCCAATACTCGTAGACCATTTAACTGCCTCGTCACCTAAAAGATTGATTACACCACGGAGGGTCACGATTTGACACTCATGAGAACGAGAATGTTCCGCCCCGGAGGTACTTCAGTGGACTGGTCGAGGGACTTTACCCCTCTTCCTCTGCTGCCAATTCTCTCAATGAGACTTTCAGCTTGGTGCTCCCATGCCGCACATACATTGTACATTTTTATAAACAACCAAGCTTTGTCTGGGTGTCGAACCCGAGCAAAGTGATATACCAGCGCTAACTCCATTACCAGTCAGGGCGGTCAGCTTTTGAATTATCATTCACTCCATTTTAGTTCGAGGGTCGCTGTAGAGACTATCAACTTTTTACGAAGCTGGAAATACGAAAAATCAGCTTTATCGTCCCCTGGGCTGAAACAAGTCTTCCAATTGCTAGCTGGGCGTACTAACCACTTTCACTACGAGATCACGTACGGGAAAATGTGGTAATTGTAATAAATAATTACAGTCTTGTTAAACCAGGAATAAAAATATAGTAGTACCTCAATATACATCATCAATCCTTTCTAAATCCTTCGACTTATACCAGACTGGACGTAAGCAAACAACTTTTTCCAATAAGAAATAAACAGAAAATAATGAATTTGTTGTTATAAAAATAGCCTATTGCTGTAATAGTAACACTTCTGAATATTAAAATACAAATGCGCTGGATGAAGTATAATACTGTGTATAATACTAAAATGAAAATTTACCAAACTTATTTATCTCATTTCTTCTGCAAGGTTTTTTTCTTGGACCTGTTGAGGATCCCTAGTTTTCACTTTTGCTAAATATCTTCACATTAATCATTTAACAGCGTCTTTGTTTTTAAGAATTATAGATACCGTCTTCTCAACATAACGGTATGCAACAGCCAAATCTCAGTTACGCATGGCATCTTCATATTTTTTCGCCTCCAAGGTGATCCTTACAACTTTCTTCATTGCTTGACTCTTCTCATTAACGTTCTTAAAACACATCGGTAAAGAATTTATATATATATATATATATATATATATATATATAAAAATACGTGAAAAAACACAAAATTACGCTAAAATTCATAGTTATAGAACCAGTTGTTTACTAAATAGTAACAACAGACGTCGTGACTGTAATGGGCAGTCGTAACATTGTCTCGGAAGAGGTAAAGAAGGGTAGTTCGCGCAGTCGTGACTCAACGAACTTCGAGTCAAAGCGAACATTTAGCAGAGGTACCACTGTATACGATAATGTATTCCTATTTCTCTATGTAAGAAATCGATAGAATGGACTACATTTCGTGCTTTCGAGGACTGCCAATCAGCTTGTTTTATTCTAACAATGAAGTACAATATGAATTCTTTATAATTGCCTTTTCCTGGAAGTGTTTGATGGATCACGTGAATTGACAGTTTACGTTTCTTTTTTTTTTTCCAGATCCTGCGGGAGATAGATCTCCACCGGCAACTACAACATAAGAATGTTGTCCGTTTCCATCATTTTTTCGAAGATGAGCATAATGTCTACATCATCCTTGAGAACTGTTCTAGGAAGGTGAGTAGCCTACTCAGACCTCCTCCTCCTACTGCGGATTTGTTTGTTTTCACCCTAATTGCCGCTTTCCGTGTGGCGGTACTTTTAGAGGTCTCTCTCTTGTTTATGCGATGGCAAATAGTGAAAGGGAAAAGAAGCGTTCTGGAGAGCAATCCGAAATCACGCACAAGGGATTCAATATCTGAGCTTCTACTTGAGATGAGATTTTGTACTTGACATTTAAGAGAAGTTATTGCCAATTGGAGGGCTTGGAGAACGCATTGCATTAAAATTTGGTTTAAAAAAGTTTTTAGTATTTATCAATGAAGCTTTTGTATTTTAGTAAATGCAGGGTGGGCCAAATAAGACTAATGTTAAACAAGGATAACTCTTGTAATAATAATTTATTTTGATTAATAATTTATACATTAAGTATATTTTATGGAAATTATGTATGAGATGTGACATCAGACAAATGTCTACCATTTTTCTCGATACAGAGATTGGCTCTTCCTACCGCGTTTTCCACTACACCACGTGATGTTTCTGGTGGAAGGCTCAGTATTTCGTCTCGAAATACTCTGCTTCAGCTCTCTAATAGTCTCTGGTTTATTAAAATACACTTTGTCTTTTAAATATATCCATAAAAAAGGATTCTGCTCCTCCATTGGCCGGAAAAGTTTTCAATAATTGTTCTGTAAGAAGCTCCGGAAATCATTTCCGGCATTCCATCCTCATTCTCGAAGAAATATGAGCCGATAACTCTATTGGCCATAACGCCGCACCAAACAGTAGACTTGAATTAAAATATTGCCGGTATTTACGCTGCGTCATAACAATTGATCGTATACAAGAATAGAAAAACTCGGTAATTTTAACGCGTTGTTTTGTACTGTATGGTTCCATAATAAATTTCCAAGAATTCAATTATAACCTAGAAAAAAAAAAAAAAAAAAAAAAAAAAAAAAAAATTATATCGAAAAATTAAAAGTTATTTGTGTTTAGCACTGGTAGGTCTTATTTGGCCCACCCTGTATTTATTTATTTATTTTATATCCAGCCTTTCCACTCACCTCGAAAATCCTGAATTTGGAGAAAATATGAACGTTTTTTAAAAAGGTGAAGGAAAATCAAAGTTTTTCTAAACCCTCAGAGTAGTTATAATATAGACCAATCCTCTCAAATAATTAAAATTTCACGTTCACTACGCAAAAAAAAAGAGGGGGGAATAACTACTATTTGCTTATTGCTGAAAGTATCCCTACAATAGAAGGATTTTAGAAAAAAATAAGAAATCAGTAAGAATTGATAGAATAGATTTTGAATTAGAGAGGTATTATAAGGTAATAATAATAATCATCTCAACCCACAGTCCTCTTCCATTAGTGGGCTGTTTTACACTTTTCTGTTTAGAAATGTAATTGTTTTACAGGGTGACCAAAAAGTTGCGCCCATCAAAATTTTAAAACCTGTAGAAATTCTATAATAAATATTAATGGCAAATTGTTCCTATGGATGACACCGCGATACTGTTCCAAGCAATTATAACATCAGAAATTTCATTTGCAATTTATGTTGCTAAATTTAAAAACTGTTTGTTTGGTCAAGATGGAGATCAACTTGTTTCAATCAGAACGGATTTTTATGACTGACACTTTCTCACACAAGGGTTATAGGAGTATTTAAAGAGAAGCTCTTAAATATTTCGTGAACCTATAAGGTAATGATTTTCTATCTGTGCTCGGACAAAATGGACAAAATGAAGTCAGGATTACAATGTTGCAGTTACCCCCTTCCCCCAAAAGGGTGAGAAAGGTTATAGCAATGAATTTAATGCGTTGCGAATGCTCAAGCACAAAAAATCGATCTTCGTGGTTAAATATCATGATCACCTTGCAGGAAACAGACAGTTTTTAAAGCTGACAGCATAAATTAAAAATGATATACTATTACTTGTAACGATATAGGAATGTTAACGAGTGAAGCAATTAGAGATTAATATCCATTTTGGAATTTCAGCAATTTTTCAGCAAGTTTGATGTGCTCAAATTTTAGCTCATCTTCATTGTCTCTATAAGAAATATTCCCTTCAAAAGAAATAGTGCCAATTTAGAAATCATTATGCTATGTGGATATACGTTGTAATAGAAACTCCATCAATCAAGCACTTTTTTCAGTTCAATAGTAATTCTAAACTCCATAGTTCTGTGTTAAAATTCCCGAGGAATAAAATGTATTGGGAATAATATACCGTTATGAATTCATTTTTCAGAATGAACAATTTTTTTCAGAATTTTATATTTCTTTCCAAAACCTTACTTACTTTTTTAAATGATTTAGATATTTTTCCTATGTGCATTTCTTTCATGTGCTTCACAATAATAGGTAATAACATGAATAAAATTTTATAATTTTCTTACTCGTTATGTTGTATTTCATAATATTAAATGTAAAATTATTGAGTTAGTCATGCTAAATTTGATAACCTTATTATGTTTGGTTACGGAAATGGTCTATTTGTTATGTCCAAAACATATAGCTCAGTATAGTATTATGCTTATTTATATAAAATTTCAATTCCAATTTCAGCATCAGTATTATTTATTTGTGAAAAATTTCAAAACAATTGTTGGCAACAAAAAGAAACTAACATCTCGAATAATGCTCTGATGCCTAAAATCGTTGAGAAAAAGAAGAAAGATGGTGTAAAAATGGAGTTAATTCTAAAAACATTATTCTTCATATTCTCTAAAAAGTCATTTTGTTGTAATTTTGCGATTTTTATTTGTTGAATATTTGCTCACCATCTTGGAAATTTTCGTTTTAATAATGTTTTGTTAACATTCGTTTAATAGCTTTTGTTTTAACTCTTGGGAATTGCGATCAAGACCTATTGACGGAGATGCCTCTGAGACTTTACAAGGTAATAGAGCTGGAGCGCGACATGATCGGCTCAATTGCCGTCTGATATCGTAATGTTAATAGTATTATATACTATACTTCATGGAATGTAGTAATACTGGTAACAGTCACACTATTAGTTCTTTCAAAGAACTAATAGTGTGACTGTTACCAGTAGTTTAGACAGTTACCAGTACTTTCTTTTCATTTTCTATATTTCATTTTTAAATTTGACATTGCCCAAATAGGAATATTTTCGTCATTTAGAACACTTCTGTAATTGGAAGTACATGACTACAACCAACAGTTGCGAAAAAGAGGCCGGGTAAGGCCTTATATATATAAGTGTAATATTAGCACAATTTTGAAAGCATTGATGTAGGAACACCACGACGTGAAACGGAGAAATACTAATGGCGTAGATATTTAAGCTTAGAACGCGTCCTTCCATTTTGAAGAATAAGCAGTCGAACCGAATTAAATTCCATATTTATTTAAATTCGCATTTTGTGGCCAAAATTCACTTTGCCTACTTCCAGATTTTTACAATTTGGATACTATAGCGATAGAACATTGCTGCAGCGTCTTAACAGGATGAAAGTGTTAGCCAGAAGAGAGAGTATGTCACAGTATTAATGTAAAGGAAGAAGGGAGGGAGGCAAAAAATTTCAGTTTTAAGTTTTGGTTTACAATTTGATAATTCGTCAAGAGGCATCTGCATTAAGCGTTACGTAAGATCGCATGATTAATTTGAATGCAGTTTAGACTTACAGCGCTGTTTTTAGGACAGAGAGATGAAATTCCCAAATGAAATAAAAGAAGTTATAGCCAATTAAAATTAAAAGTTTGCTTTCATATTTTTATCTTATATACATACACACATATATATATTGTTTGGTAAGGCCATTGTAATGAAAAGGAAGGGCACAACTAGAAGTTAATACCAGTCCCATATACAAAATTTCAACATTCTGTGGGTAATCTTTTTTGCATTATACGAGGTAAATACATACGTACGTACATACAGACGTCACGCAAAAATCTACTTGAATTTAAATCTATTTTGCAGTCCGTTTCGGCGAAAAGTGTCCTTTATTCTGACCGTGCAGATGCGTACTGGTCACACAGAATATTGTCCAAATGGATTCGAGAACAATCAAAATGAATATTTGCTTTGAGGTATGATACCTGACACTTTTCGTGATTACTATACTTCTTTTACTTCGTACGAGGAAGTAAAAGGGGGGGGATATGGTAACTGAAATATGTTGGCGGGGACGCATATACTGCTTCCGGGTCGTATGCTGCATGCGAGCCAGCAGCATGAAACCACTATTTATGAAAGCCCTAAGGCTTTTGTTCCTTGTCGTTTATACTGAAACTGAAAAAGATACAAGTAGGAATAATATCGAAAAGAACTATAATGTTGAAAAATATGACAGCATAAGCAACAAAGCTCTTTTTGGAGATACCATCTGCACTTATATCCAATAAAACAATGAAGGGGCGTAATTTCTGGCGGTTATATCCCATTTCAGGCTTTCTCAGGCATGGGCTTTATCTTGAAACAGGATCATGTCGATTTCTAAATATTAAGGACGGCTAAATTATTTTGAGAATTCTACATCTTGGAAATTGAAACAGTGAAAACAAAAAATGAAAACTTTTGAGATTTTGGTTAGCATTAAATCTGGATTAAAAATATAATGCTCCAAAGAGCTGTGAAAATCATCAGTAACACTGCTATCACAGGATAAATAAAACAGAATTTTTTAAAAATGTGACTTTTTTCGAAGAGGAGAATATTAAGCCATGTATAAGGAAAACGGATTTTTTTTTTACAACCATCTGCTGAACTATATAGTATTTCTGAGCTGAAATAACTGTATTGTACGCACTTTAAGAAGCCTCCTTTCTTTGATTTTCCTTTTTTTCGCTCACAGTTTATTCAGAAGTAACTTAAAATAGCGAATACGATCTCACAGCTATATTCCTCCAATGTCTTCCCACCAAATATAATGAAAGATTAAAAACAGAACGGTTAAAATGATGCGATTTTGATGTGACCATCTGAAACGCCTGAAGAAGGGAGAAAAAAGCCTGAAATGGCATGATTTTTG